GTCAATCAAATTTCAATTCTATTGAACGTTTAATATGAGAGAGAAGACATTTTCAATCTCTCAAATAAATAAACAAGATAAATGAATTTTGAAGTCTCTGTAAAACAAAATTGGCCTTTTAAAAATATATTGCTGATAAACATTTTACAGTGGGGAATATATATATAATATATATATATATATATATATATATATATATATAATATATATATATATATATATGTGTGTGTGTGTAGGGGGTGTGTGTAGGGGTGTGTGTGAGCGAACCACGCACACAAATATATATATTATATATATATATATATATATATATATATATGTTACTTAAATAGTGTTGTTTATATTACTTAAATAGTGTTGTTGTTTATATATATTACTTTCATTTTAAAAATGAATCCCAATTGATAAGTCATGCAGTGCATCATTTAATTACCCCAATATATTGAGGCGGAGCTCCTTATTTCCAGTAGTTACTGCACAAATCTAATTAGCTGTGATTATTAAGTAAGTCCTGCAGGGCTGAGGGGGGGTGAGGGGAATGTGACAGGTTGGCTCACAGGTTGAAACCGATTAAGTGGCTCAGTGAAGACGTGTTTGTTTGTGAGTGTGTACTTGGTCATTAGCTTTGGTTCAAGTCCATATTCCTGAACAGAAGGAGGAGTAATTAAAGTCAGTGAGGTTTTCTCCTGTCTCATTGTCCATCTGCACGCTTGTAAAATTAAAGTAACGCTCATAATTGCTTTATGGTAAAGGCTAAAAATATAATCTATAGAGGCAACAGAGTGGGTTAATTTACCCCCTGTTGAGATGTCTGGGTGTGTGGAACCAGTCTGGAGTGGGGGGTCAGAGGTGAGCATGGAAACTCGGGGTCTTTTATAACCTCCTCACATGTTTTGCAAACAGGATCCAATCAGCTTTGGATCAGACGGATAAAGTCCCATCTGTAATTACAACCACAGACACTGAAACGGCGAGAGGAAGTTGTGGAACTGGAGCTTCCTTCTGAATGGTTTCCTACGTATCTGAATTCATATTTTTGTACGTAATGTCAAATTTTAGATGGGTACAAAATGTTCTGGCCTTATGTAATAATTTGTTGTACCATTGACAGAGATTTGGATTTAAAGATCCTTCCTCAAGATATTGGTTGCAAATCTGCACACACACCCCCAACACCCATCTCAGATCATCTGCCACTCCATCCCTTAGCCTTTCACAGATAATATGAACAGGCTGTGCTAAAAGCGGTGGCAGCAATCATGAATGTGAGAGGCGCATTTTAGTTTTTGTTTTTATGTGTTTAATTTAGTGTTTACATGATACGCGCAACAGTTTGTGTTGATTGCTTTAAGACGTGGCTGAATCCATACTTTGAAAATTCATCTTCCTTTTGACATTAGTTGGAGTTCTACTGTTGATTTAAGGAGGTTTCTATAAAAATGGTGCAGGATCAGTTGCCCTTGTTTTCTCATTTCATCCATTTCTACTTCCTTTGTTTTTTTTAACCAATAAACAACACTATTTAAATAACCAATGTGTATCATGATGTGTTTCTTGGTACTCAAGTAATCACACAAACTATAGGATTCCATTAAATTTAATGGTTAACAACTGTTTAAAAACTTTCTTTAATGCACTAATTGTTTGAATAGTATGTGGATGTTAGGATCAGTGGTGTAAAATTCACAGTATCCTGTTGCGTCTCTGAATTTTACAGGATGTTTCTCTTACTTTAACCATGACATCACCTTCTTGTTGAATTTTTTGTCCATATCTGGGGATGAAATTATTTTTAAGGTAGCTCAGGTTTTAACAATTTCATGCGTTCAGCATGCCGATGTGAGTGAATCCTCTTCAGCCTATGTATCAAAAAATTCAGTCGTGGCCTGGCTTGTCTGATGGTTGAATGGTATTGTATACACTGTTGTCGTATCCACAAATGCTAAATTAGGGTATTTAATAATGCTTTTGGAAAAAAGGCAGCCACTCAGGCTAAGCTAACCTTGTTGATTCGTGTTTATCGGGTGGTCAGTCTGGGTTCATTAGAGGAAGGAGTAGATTGAAAAGAGTCAGAACAAGGAGGACACTGGAAATACAGCACTGAATGCTACAGAGTACCACAGTAGAAGTGGAACCATCTGGCATCTGAATCTGGGAAGCTGCTCCTCTTTAAGGACCTTGCAAATTGGTGGTCATGAGAAACAGCTGGATGCCTTCAGCCTGCCACCCTGTGAAGGAGAAGAAAACCACTCCCCTGCAAAACTCAAGAGACCTGACATTTTAGGAATTGTTTTCTTCACTCCTCTGCAGATCTTCCAGTGTTAAGCCCGGGTGTCACATTGCGATGGATCATCCTCAGGCCGATGTACCAAAGTTTAGTTTTCATCCTTTTGCTCCCTCTTTTCAATTTCTATTTTGCTTCCCTTCTCTCCTTCTTTCCGTGTCCTCCTCTTGCAGTCTTTCTTTCATACTATTTTCAGTGGCACAGCCAGCTCCACTTTTGATCTGAAGAGCAGATTCCTCAGTGTGTTGGCATGACAACACTGCCGTGGCTCCACAGCGTACTCAGGGTGCTTTTCCTCTTCCGTCTCTCGTCTGTTTTCTTCTTTACATTTGTGATGTTTGGACCTAAATATTTTAACATTGAAGCTTGTGTTCTTTGCTGTTATTCGCTTTCAAAAGATTCTTTGCTATGCTAATGCTATATGCGCTATATGAATGACGTAGTTTGGATTTTCAGATGCTCACATCGGACACTAAAGACAGTGCTCAAAATGCGAAAGGTCATAACTGTTTTGTTTTTTGCAGTTTTCAAATCTGATATCACTGATGATGCCAGACAAGTTTGATGCCTGCAAAGTTTATAGAAAGTTTAATATAGTTAAACTTGAGAAATCACTGACACTGGAGGGTTGTGAGTTTCAATATTAATCAGTCTTTGGTAAATATGGTTGGAGTTAAAATAAGCGCCGTCAGTTGATGAAAAAAATGTAATCAGATTAATCACACTCTCACTATCTGATGAATCACAATTAACATGCTTAATAAAAATCAATTAAATAATTTAGTTTTACATGAAGGAAGAAATGTGAAAATGAGGAGAACCTCCTAAGAACATCGGGAAAAGACAAGCTTACAATTTTCTGCCAGAACAAAGGCAACCAAGTTGCTATTGTATTCTTGACATTCCTTTGAAGAAACCGTTTGAGTGGGAACATATTTCTTTTCAGAGGAATCCTCAGAAGAAGGGGAACCTGTTAGGAGTTGTTTCTCTGTTTTCCCTTCCTCTTGTTGAAGCATAGCCGACTAGAACCACGTCTGTTTGCCTTGCAGCTGACCTGAAAGCGTTCATGAAAGCGGACGTGAGCGCCCGAGGGTCAAAACCGAGTCGCCGCAGCTCACACTCATACGCTTTTATGACCGAGGAAGAAACCGCAGATTCCCAGACTGACACAAAAACGGGGGGGAATCCCCCTGTTTTTGTTGGACGCTCGGGAGTTGAAGTACAAGGTTTTCGCCCCCTACTGATTTATTGACGAAACCAAGCGAGGAAGTACAAAATATTTGGATCAAAAACAAACGGAGAGGCCTGCTAAAAGAACGACTGGGGGACCCACCTGGCAGACGAGACGAAGAGCACCCGTCGGAGTGTTTATGTATTATTAACCAGCCAGCTTCTTAGATTATTTACAACAGCTGGAGGAAGGGGGGAAGAAGACATTGTTTGCTATGCACGCATACACACACATGCACAGAGGGAAGCTCAACAGCGTACTTAAGAAGCCGCAGCATCATCTGAGGTAGTTAATATAATTAAATGTCAGAAACTGTTAGAGGGAGGAACGAGCGGGGGAGTGCTTCAGACAAATCTGGTTACTACTGGAAGACTCACTATAAACATCAATGTTTATACCAGCATTATCGTGAATATTCCAGCGTAAACAAACACGTTATTGATTGAATGTGCAGACACAAACGCTTCTTATCGTGACAAGAGAATCGATTCCCTTGTTGCTTGTGTTTTTACCACACTCTGTTCTAGTTGTTTTTAGTAGGTGTTTCATGCCCATTCAAATAGACTGAAGGAACAACTATTCCAGGCCAGTCGAGTGCATTGATTTTGATTTTGGCCAACTTTTAAAAATACATGAAAACAGACAGGGGCTAGGCTAAGATTCTCACTTTATAACTCCTAAAGCTGCAATATGTAACTTTCATTAAAAAATATGTTTTTTACATGCTTGTCAAAGCCAAATATTTTTTGCATAGTTTGTAGTGCAAATATCTTAGCATATTTAAAAAGACATTTCCACTGCAAAGTATCAAAAACACTTGGTAAGATTTTGTGTTTTTGCAGTAAATATGCTTCACTATTTGAATCAAATTATTGAAATTAAAGACATTTGGATGGCATTTAAATGTATTTTAAGATAAACCAGAAGGGGTTTTTTTTAGCTTGGAAGTTCATACCAGGGTTATAAGGTTCAAAGATTCATTTCAGTCCTGCCAGTTGGGTGGTTTTGGGCCCCACAGAAGCTTTATTTCTAGCAGCACCCCTGGTTTTTACTCATCCTGCCTCGTCTAGTTTCTCTGTCTCCCTGTCAGGACCCTTCCGGTCTCTCTGCCCAGTTTCAAGCTCATTTGAACCATTTATAAAATTCTTTCAGGCTCATTTAGTTTCTGGCTCATGCGAGGCGCTCTGGCATTAGACAGCACGATGAGTGACTGCGCCCCACGGTGGACATGACGCCTCCGTTTCCATCAGGAAACGGAGGCATCAAGTCATTCCTCCCCTCACCCCCATCCTTATTGTTTCCCAGTAATGCTGTTGGTATATTTGCATCCATCTTACTATTTGGACATTCAGAAACTGTTCCTGGGAGGTACGAAAACTCCGAGCTTCAGAAAACGGATCGTAACCATAAATCAGCGAGGTGGACAGTTAAATAAATGTAAAAAATCAGGGCGTTTTCAGTTCTTTTTTGTTGTCGTTTCTGCAGGTATAGAGCAACATGCCGCTGGTGAAGAGGAACATTGAACCCCGGCACTTGTGCCGCGGGGCGCTGCCAGATGGGGTGACCAGTGAACTGGAGTGTGTCACCAACAGCACACTGGCAGCCATCATCAAACAGCTGGGCAGCCTGAGTGAGTAATATTACATAGTATTTACTTAAGTTTTTATAGTTTTCCTTCTAATCTTTCAATAGAAAGTAACCCTCACTTACAGTAACAAGATTAAAATCACTTACTTGGTCATCCACTATTTTTAGTCACATTTCCTATGACTTTTTCAAAGCTAAGGACAATTTATTTTAGTGGTTTTGACATATATGTCCCAGATTTTTTTGTTTTTACGCATAAAAAGCAGCTTTGTTTCAATTGCTCTGCATAAATTTCAACACCGAAGATGCTTCCAGTCAATTACACCTTTGATTAATAAAGCCATAAAGCGCTGTCTCTAGTCTGCTTTTGAAATATCTCACTTCAAACAACTCATTAGAAACATGAATAGTTCATTTACCAGCAAGGACAAAACTTTATGTGAATATTAATCTCCACCCAAATGACTCAGTTGATATATGCAGGGCAAAATGGCTATCTAAATGTGTTTAACAGTTATGTGCTAAATTAAATCTGTGACAGCTCATTCCGGGTGACTAAAGGCGCTGCCTCTGCTGCGTCTGTCAGACGTAAATTGAGCGGTGGGGACAGAAAAAAAAAAGGCAGGAATAGATGTCTGTTTGTGCATTGCAATCTAGGTTAGTTTGCATTTGCATCTCTCTCTCTCTTCCTGTCATGGTTTTATGGGAACATTAAGGTTTTTTAGTTTTCAGTCTGACGGGATTCACAGCAGGGGGCGGCCTTTCCTGCAGAGACAGACGACAGGCATTTCTTCTTTGTTCTTTTTTTAAATATTCTTGTGAATTTTCCGATAAGTCAATTGAAAAAGGAGATAATCAACAAATGCATTTCTTTTTTTCCCTTCTTCTGAAACAATCTTCCATCTTACTGTGAGACTAAAGGTGAAACTTCAAATGACATCCGTCTCAGTGGTGCTGGTTTTACAACCAGTAAGTTGAGATTGTTAGATCTCATTGCTGCTGTTGACATAGTTAATAATTTGCTTCGTAAAATTAGAACCTAGGCAGGATTGTGTCACATCGGGTCAGATCTTACTTGGCAGAATTTGTGGAAATTCTGAGTCTGAGAAAACAAAGATTCTTATATGGGGTTCCTCAGGACTCCATACTTTTATTTTGTACCTGAACGTCTTACTAACACAGCCTTTTACCACCTCAAACTGCTGCTAAGAGTAAATGGTTTCCTGTCAAAACAGGACAAACAAAAGATGTCAATACAGGTCTCCATCTTATCAAGACCAGAACTAAACAAGGGCAGCCAGCATTGCGTTTCTACACTGTTGGAATTATTTAATGGTATTTAACAGAATAGTTCATCTATTCTGTGCAGTTCATCTGTTGAGATGGAACAACATTTACTTTTAAATATTTCATGACAGAAGTGTTTGTAGATGCTGTATTTCTGGTGAGTGAGGGGATTGATCTCGATGAATAATAAAAGCTGTTGACGTTTTAAGGATGTGATTGACACAAATCAAATCTAACCACACCTGGGTCTTTGTGCTGCTGCCTAGGTCGCCATGCTGAGGACATTTTTGGAGAGCTGTTCAACGAAGCCAACAGCTTCTACTTGAGGATGAGCAGCCTGCAGGAGAGAGTGGACCAGCTGGCTGTGAAAGTCACTCAGCTCGACTCCACTGTGGAGGAAGGTGTGTGTGTGTGTGTGTGTGTGTGTGTGTGTCTGGAAAGGTCATTCTTCCATAAAAATACAATGGTATCCAAGCAGCCACATGTGTATATGCCTGTGATTCATCTTTTGTGTGTTGTTTTGAACGAAGGGATTGTTTCTATGCGTGTGTGTGTGTGTGTGTGTGTGTGTGTGTGTGTGTGTGTGTGTGTGTGTGTGTGTGTGTGTGTGTGTGTGTGTGTGTGTGTGTGTGTGTGTGTGTGAGCGTTGGTGTGCTGTGATTTGCATTTTATGCTTTTACTGTCTCTTCTTTGTTCGTACGGACATGTGTACTTTTGCTTTGTCCTCTAACTAGTTGTTATGCTTCATGGATAAAAGACCTCTTACATTACCATATACAGAACAAAAGAATTAATTCCCCTTGACTTTTGGTATATGATAATGATGCTTTCTTGATCCCCAAATGGTGGGGGATTTTGTTTGTCCTAGCATAGCACACAACAAAAATTTAAAATAGGTGACAATAACAATAGTTCATTAATGATGTCACAGGCAGCATTGGCTTCACCGGCAGAGGAATGTAAATGGTGATGGCAAATATGTTAGTAAATTCCCTTTGGAGACAGTAAGGGCACATTCTGTTGGAGTGAACTCATCACTAAGATTAACCTTCTTCTTTAGCTGTGTTTGTGTTCTTGTTGGTTATTAGTGAGTCAGACTCTCAGCCACTTTGCTTCATATTGTCTCCAGTAGTCAGTTATCTGAATGTAGTATTCATACTTGATTCTCGCATTGATTTAATTTCTTTTTAAGTACATTTGGTAAGATTGATATTTTCTAGCTTTCTGCCAAACCCTAAAGTGTGGAAACCAACCTATAACATTTAGTTACCTAATTCTGCCCATCTATGGCATTTATTGGTCAAGAGGCAGGGTGCACAATGGCTTAGTCCATGACAGGTCAAATGCAAATTTGACCTGAATATTTGTTTCCATTACAAATATGCGCAAAAATTTGTTATTTAGTTAATGTCAAAAAACCACAATTTTGCAATAGTGGAGTTTCAATTAAATAATAAGTTTATTCATGCGATAAGTCATTAAAATCATTCTGCACCATGATTCTCAAACTTCCTGTTGCCTTTGTGGTTTGCGGCAGTGGCAACATCCGTTTGTGATGTGTAGAAGTGTTTCCATTGCAGTTTATCAAAACAAACAAATTTTTCATAAAAAACACCTCATCCTAGCACCAAAACGTTTTATTAAACAATTTGTGTTTTGTAGATTGACTTGTTTTCATTCAGCAAATTTATTTTTGATGTGTCAAATTGAGCAATTATATGGTCAATGGAAAAGCGCCAACAGAGGCCCACTGGACAAACCATTCACACACACACTCATACATAAAGGCAATTTGGCCAGAGCTCATGCCAGGATTTGAACCTTTTGTTAAAAACTGGTATACCATGAGTATATCATGGTATACTCATTATTCTACTTGTTTAAAACTTTAAAATGATCTTTCAGACTGCAGATAAGTGCAAGTATTCAGTAAATCACAGTTTTTTGTGGCCATTTCCAGAGTTTAGAAGACCAACAGATTTGTCGCTTACTTAAATGCCATGTTCTGATGTCTTTACCCTTTTTGATGAATGACTGGAAGAAGCCACATCGTGTTCGTACTTCCTATCTTTTTAGCTCAGGGTTTTTCCTCTTTTACCCCACTTTTCTTTTTATCCTCCTCTCTCCCCATGTTTAATTCTCATTTTCACGATCCTCTTTTCTGTCTCTATCCGACTCCTCTCTCTTTTTTTCATCCTTGCTGGTTCTGCCGAGTCATTCTGCAGCACAGCAGCCTCAGACATTCAGCGTCACAGCAGTGTAGACGGAGATGAAAAGAAAAACCTCAGCAGTCTTTCGTCATACCCTTTCATCCCTCTCCCATTCTTCCTCTTCCACCTCCTCCTCACCTGCTCAATTTTTCGTCTCCTCGCTCTCTTGTCCTCCCACTCGCAATCCATTCTTCTGTGTTCTTGATACTCATTTTTAGTTCTCCATAACAGAAGTTATGATTCACAAACCTTTAACTTTTTTATCTTTTACTTCTTCTGCTCAGTCATTTCCTCCTGTCCTTCATTTCATTCATCTACTTCAGTCTCTCCATCTTATTTGTAAAATGGCGACACTGATGGCTTCTCTCTAGTTGAGGAGGAAGGAGGGGTTTGTGAAATGAGGAAAAAAGAGGAAAAATATCATAAAGAGAAAAAAAGGAGAATATATTGTAAAGTTGACAAATTTGGTAAGGAGAAATCTGAGTATTTTGTAAGAAAAGAAGAATAAGAGAATGGTGCTTAGTCAAGAAAAGGCAAAAACACTTGACATGTCTCTGTTATATAAGTAAAACTATTATGTCATGTTCACTTTAACTGCGTTATCGTAGATGGCATTAGGTTTAAATCATAGAAGGAACAATTGATTCCTCAAATTATTGTACCCTGAGAGCTTTTTCTTGTCCTTTCACATACAGCTCCTCCCTCAGTTATTTGCACTTCTTTAAAAGGTAAAATGCTTGAGATTAAAAGAGAGTACACAGCGAGGAATGAAATAAGTTTGCTGGAAGAGTAAGAAGTCTCTTTGAAGATGAGTCTGCATCAAAGTTTCATTGGCTTCTACAGCAGTGGATTATTCATTTGGCCACAGGGACAGAGGCTTAGGAGGCAATGATCAAACACTGTTCAGTGCTTTCACTGGAAACTTACATGTGAATCAAACAACCCTTTGTCTTTAAGTTTTTAAGGAGCAAGTCACTGCATTCAGAAGCTAACTGTTCTGTCAGCCTCTGTGCACATAAATGATCATTTAGTATTTATCAAATACTAAATGATCGGGGACATATGTTTCACCGTTTGTGACTTAACCTTATCATATGCTGGGTTGGTGTCAGCTGATCCCACCCATGTGTGACTGTGTGTTCTGCCATATTGAAGATGCTAGATAGTTTTGTGTTAAACCTCTTACAGTGTTAAAGGGATTATACATACACACGCATACGCGTATTTGTGGTTTATAATGCAGCTTTCTGTGTGTGTTTAGTATGACTGTGAGAATAGAAAAATTCCAGACATAAATCAACTGAGAACATGTGGCAAGACCTAAAAGTTTGATCTTCCCAGAAACTCTTCATACTGTTTGATTGCAAAAAAGTAAAAAGAAAATAAAATTTCCTTATGGTTACACAAGATATTGTTTTGGAATGCATGCTGCCACAGTTGAAATTTCTCATTTGTAAAAAATTGTATTTCTATGTGGGTGTGTCTGTGTGTGCGTGGGCATGTGTATGTGTGTATTTTAGAAAATTACTTGTTTATGACAGTGTAAAGAAAGTCAATTCCTACTGTGGGCTGAAGGTAAAGTTGCAGTCTTTGAAGTACGTAACTGATCATACTTAGAAAGTGTATACAATAATGGTACAAGCTCTTTTGTGGCAACTTGTTGTTTATCTTGGGTTTTATTAAAACATTAAGTTTCAGCAGTAGTAGTCACATACCACTGAGTGTAGAACCCTGCTAAATAATTATCATAGTTGTCAGAAAATTCTAAAACCTTAAATTTTTCTTTTGCTGGTAAAATTTGAAAGCAAGAGTCAGATGACCAGACAAAAGTGTTTTAACAAGTGTTTAACAAGATTTAGCTTCTAATCTATTCTGCCTTTAAGACTTAAAAAGGTATTTCCGTACAGAACTTCTCAAAACAGCCGAGTTGAAACATTCTCTGGTCTTTCAGTCTCCCTCCAGGACATCAACATGAGAAAAGCATTTAAGAGCAGTACCATTCAAGACCAGCAGGTGGTGTCCAGGACGTCTGTGCCCAACCCCGTGGTGGAAATGTACCACCGCTGCGACAAGCCCCCGCCGCTGAATATCCTCAGCCCCTACAGGTGGGTTACATTTGGAGTAGGCGTAATTCCAGCAAAGGATGTGTCTACTCTCTGTTTTACTTTTTCACCTCTGCTCCTCTATTTGCCTCTGCAAGGGATGACAAGAAGGATGCGCTGAAGTTCTACACTGATCCCTCCTACTTCTTCAACCTGTGGAAGGAGAAAATGCTCCAGGCCACCGAGGACAAACGCAAAGAAAAGAGGCGGCAGAAGGTAGGCATCCGTTTCCATGGGGAGAGTGCATTTGCATGTGAAGCTGCATTATTGTTGTGAATGTACAGCTGGTGTGTCAGTGTGGAGCTGGAGGAGAGTGTGTTTTAGAAACATTACAAGAAATTAAGTCATCCTCTCCTTTATTTGCTTATCTGTTCTATTTTTGCCAACTTGTGTCATGTTCTTTTGCTATTTATGTTGATGCTTTCCTATCTTAATGTTGTCACCATTTAGCTGTGCTCTGTTGAATGCAGCAGCAGCTGGGGGATAATTAGTGACAAGATATAATCAGAGATTTTGAAAATTTAAATAACTGCTTATAGTCATTTAAATTGAGACAAGAGTAAATGAGTTACTATACCTTGATGGTTTATTATAAGCTGTTATTCCTATGTGTGGTATTATTGTACAACAAACTTCAATTAGCTTTAAAAAATGAGTAGATACTCAAATTCAAATTTAATGTAGATTTGCTCACCACATAGGTTCAAAATTTTACAGAGGCTCTAACATATATGATCACTGATTATTATTCAGATTACTGTAGTTAGCAAGTTGCACCTAAATGGCATGCATTTTATGGCCATCAACAACCATTAGATATGTGTCTGCCTTTGTAAGAGTTTGCCAATTCTTTACTTTGCAGAATTAGTAGAGTTGATTCAAATATTTTGGTTTCCAATCACACACCTCACTTTAATTAAATTGCTGTTTTGTATGAAAACAAAACAGCAATTTAATTTAAAATTACAATAAATAAATGACCTGCAAAATAATTATTTAAATCTGTCATTCATTGTTTTGAAAACTGGGAATAAATAATTTTCACAAAAATGATTTAATTATGAGCCACTTCCAGTGAATTGGAAAAAGTTGTGTGGACTTGTTTGAAACCTTTTCACAGCTGATGTTTGATAGTCTTACCTTGTTTTAGTCTAACAAAAAATAAATCCTTCCATTCAAATCCCAGAACAACTGCTGCTGTATGCATTTGCTGCTTTTTGTCAATATTTGTGTTTGAATTTAAAGCTTATTTCATATTTTTTTCTGTTCCCTCCCTTCTAAATGTACTCATTTATCAAATTTTGAACCTTACATCAAGCGTTCACTTAAGAAAAAACAACAGGTGTAAGAGGATGGAACAAGCTGCAGCAGGCTGCCTGAGACATCGCTCTACTTTATTCCCTCAGCGCCTCCTCCTTCCTTTCTCTCAGTTGCCTATAGCCAGCTGGTCTTGGAAGATGCGCAACCCTTTCCTCTTTCCTCTTCCTCTGCTCAGTCTAATGCACCAGCTTGTCTTTCTCCCATGTTTCCATAGGGCTGTCCGGCCCACCCCGACAGGCCCCACTCCAGACAGGCCCCACCCAGGAGCCCCCTGTCCATCTCTGTAAGGCGACCCAGACCCCTGACCCCCCCCCCCCCCCCCCCCCACCACCACACCCCCACGTCCCTCACTTCCTGCCCTCACACTCCATTAAAACACATTAAACACTCACCTCTGAATAAGGAAGTCTTCCATACACCTTGTAATTTAGAAGCAGCACTAAAAAAAAGTCCTCACTGTATGAAAAAACGAAATACACACACGCGTGAACTCCCGTCTGTGTGTGTGTGTCCGTGTGTATACCGTCACCTTATCTCACCATCTCACCTCTCTCTCTCTCTGGCCTCCTGTGTTTGGTTTTGGTTGGTTTGCTGTGATCCCACCCATTTTTGGCTCCGTCGTTCGTCGTATGCTAGTCCGTGTTGCACAGTAGTGAACTGGGTAGTGAGTAGACCAGTGGATATGTGTGTGTGTTTGGTTCAGTGTGATGGTAAAACGGGGTCCAGATCACTTTCCTTCTGCAAACAAAAAGCCAGTAGCCAATGACTGAGGTCCTTTCCACTCCTGTTTGTCTGTCTGTGTAACATCTCCAGGAGCAGCAGCGGCAGGTGGAAGACCCGAGCAGAGAAGTGAAGAAGGTTGGTAACCGCTTGTCCTTGATGCATTTAAAAATTCAGTATGTAACATCTATAAAAAATATTTTTTTTTCACATATTTGTTGTAGATGCCACTATATTGTGAAGGCATCATATGAAACAGATAATCTGAAAAAAATCTAGTTTCTCTGCCTTCTCCCAATGCTAATTAAAAGCAATCAGAGACAGGAGGCGGGTCTTAACACTGTCAATCATGCTCGTGTACACACCGTTCATTCCCTACTCTTGACTCCCCCACTTGTTCTCTACTACTCTATTGCTTCTTCCCAATATCAGAGCATGTCAAGAATACTAATGTTAGATTGAATGGCCACCAGTGATGGTGAATAGGTTATTAGCACATTGAGCAGCCCGTACACAAGCTTTATTGACAGCAATAAGACCCGACTCCTGGCTATAATTGGTTGTTTGTGATTGAGATTGGTGCATTTTAGCAGATTGCTAAAGTAGCTCAGGGAGGAGATGGAGGAGCTCAATTTGTTTTCACAGATTTTCAAGTAAAAGAAAGCACAGATTTTACCTGCAGTATTTTTATTTCCTGTTGTGTCGTCCCGCAGGTGCGTAAGGCTCGTAACAGGCGTCAGGAATGGAACGTTCTGGCCTACGATAAAGAATTTCGACCCGATGCCAGACTCACCCCCTCCCCTTACCACGGCATGTCGTCTGAAGGATCCCTCTCCCCAGATAGCAGGTACATGCTATCCACAGCTAACCCCAAACCACTTCAGTTGTACCTTTCTAACGCATCAAGTTATTTATTTTTGTATATTCCAGACAAGGGAAGCACGCATTCATTTGACCATATTTATTTAAATGTGTCCCATTAAAAATTTTTGGACTGCAGTTGCATAAAGACACAGCAACACATTTAAAGACAAGCAGAATATCAAGGCTTACAGTTTCTTGAAGACATGTTAATACCCTTTGAACCTATTTTTATTTTTTGCTATATTATACACAGAAATTGCAATGTATTAGACCAACACAAAACAGCATGTACCTCTGAAGTGGGGGGAATTGATACGTTGTTGAACGTATTCAGACCCCGTTTACTGTGATAACACAAAATAAAATCCTAACCTTTTTGTCAGAAGATATGTCGAGGACAGAAAATATGTGGAAGAAGGCCAAATTTTACTCTTTAGTCGACTTCCTGTCATCTTGAACACACATACCCAAGTTGACACAATATTGTGGTGATCAGAGTTGATGGAAGCTATCAATCCTGACAAGAAGGACACTTGTGGGATGTTTTAGACATCATTAATTGTCACATTGTCACACTATTAATTTTGTTGTCGCATCTATAAGTCAAAATTCTTATTGTGATAAAAAATTTTCTGTAAATGATAAACGTCCACCGATATATTTCAAGAACTTCAAATGACAACTTCAAATGACTTGTCATTTGAAGTTCTGTGCTGCCCTCCTATGGACTCTTAAGTGAGACCCTCTGTTGTATTTTTCATTTCAAATATACTAATCAAAGCTTCACAGTTTGGTTGAAGTACAAATAGCCAAACATTAAAGCAAATGGAAATCGACTAAAATGGAATCCAGGCTCTGGTTGTTGATTAAAAATTTTATTTTTCACTGATCTCAAAATTAGAATCTTACTTTAGCCTACGCTTGAATAAAGCCCCGCTCCCCTCCTCAATTTTAACCCAATAGGTCAATGGCGTCTGACTCCTACCCGGCAAGTCCCAACCACCCGGCTACCCAGGCTCCAAGTGCTGTCCATCCCGCTGACCACCATGGCAGGGATCACCTCGCTGCCGCCCAGACACAGTCGCTCGATCGCGGCCTGAGGCCAGCCAACCAGCCCCCTGGAGCCGCCGGGGCAGGACCACCGGGTCGACACGCAGCTTCCCTCGGCAGGACTCCATCAGGACACGGGGTCCAGGCTGGTGGAGATCCAACGGTGAACGGGCCAAGGCAGCAGTCGATTAAGGAATACCGAGCTGGGTACGGGTAGGATTTGTCATTGACAAAGTGACACCAAGGCGAATATTACAAATTAAATATTTCAGTGGCTTTGATTTAGTTCAAACATTGAGGACTTAAAGGATTGAATCTTCCATTACGTTGATGAATCTCTTTTTTCATAAGATTTCAGAATTTAGTGCCGTAGGGTGAGACTATTGGTTTCTCTTTCCAGTCCAAAGAAACTAAGTAGAAGTCTCAATGGTTGTATTGGAGTCAGTGGTCGAGATGATTGAGTAGTACTGACCCATATGTATGTTTGTTACCTCTTTCTCCCTCTTCAGTGGGCAGCCCTCCACCATACCAGAGTATTACATCCCTCCAGCTCCCCCGCCACCCCCGCCAACCATCCCATCCGCTCAGACTGCCTTTGATTCTGCCACAGCGCCACCTTCTGCGGCCGCCTCCGCCATCCCACCGACCTCCTCTGCCCTCTCCTGCCACTACTCCCCCTCCCCTCCGCCTCCCCCGGCCAACTATGTACCCTCCCCCGCCCATCCCCCTTCAGGTGCCCCTCCGGCTGCCCCTCCGCCCCCACCTCCTGGCGTGCCCGCGGGACACCAGGCTCACCCGTCCCCGCCACACGCCGCTGTCGGCCAGACGGCCGTGGATTCGGCGCCTTCGACGAGAAAGTCGACCATGCTGGGGATGATCCCGATGAGCGACGCACGCTCCGACCTGCTGGCCGCCATACGTAGAGGTACGAGTGTCGGGATATGTGGCAAATATCTTCCAGGGTTTCTCTGGGTAAATACAACCAAAGAAATGCAAACATGTCTTGCTTGAGGGGGAAATGACTCGTGGTCTTTAGCCAAAGACAAAACATGTTGATTCCTTCAATGGCACATGTTCACCTCCACAGAGGTAAACACATTTTTCAGATGGTTTGGATAGTCTGATACAATAGCCAGTGAAAGAGAACTGCAGCAGCTGAACTTTGGTTTCCAATTGAACAAGGACTATCAGGTGTGAAAACACCTTTAATCCTTAACAGCTCATGCTTACAGTTTGATAAAAAAGTATTTATAGACAAAGCTCTCATCAGATCTGATTGCTCCTCCCTTCCCTTTGTCCCTCACAGGCATCCAGCTGAGGAAGGTTCAGGAGCAGAGGGAACAGGAAGCCAAGCGGGAGCCGGTCGGCAACGACGTGGCCACCATCCTGTCGCGCCGCATCGCCGTGGAGTACAGCGAATCCGACGACGACTCGGAGCTGGATGAGAACGAGTGGTCTGACTAAAGAGAAAACGTAAAGATAGGAGGAAAAAATGAGATGGAGCTTTGTAAGGCTGGACTGGCGGAGCTAAAAGAGAGAGAAATTTTACATTGAGTTGACAACGAAGATGTCGGGTCAGTTTCGAAGTTTCCATTTAAACTACAATGTTGACTAAAAACCAATCACACATTTGTTTACACAGATCGCCGGCGCGGGGCTCGGAGAAGGCCGAGCGACGGGGTCGTACTTTCAGCATGCACGGTTGCCCCTCACGACGCCTCTTGTCGAGCTGAGAGCACGGAGGCTTTTATGTCAGACCTCCCGCGGTGTGTGGCACAATAAACACGCCCTCCATCTCGGCAGCCTCCCGCCCCCGTCCGCTCGTTTTTAACCGCAAGCACGAAGCTGTGAAAAACAAACCCATAAACATCTCCCTATATTCACACCCGAGCGGTAGTTATAAGCAGTGTGTAGGCAGCGTCCCCCTGTGACTACGGGCTTAATGTGTTTTACAGAACACATGGTGCGGCACAAGGAAGATTAACGATAGTGCAATCTTTACATATCTGCCAAATGTTCAGAAAGAACTGGAGGAAGCACGTCAAGATAATCGGGGAAAACGATAGCTTGTTAGCGGATGACCGTGCTTGTTGAGGGAACACGCGCACTCTCGTCAGAGATGAAGCCAAACTTTTGGGAGTTTGGTCCCGTTGACCAACCGGATCGGCACCGGGACTCTCCAGATGAGCTGCTATTACATGTTCCAGCGAGATATTTAAGCTTTGCTCCATTCACAAAATAGTTTGTTATTTATTTACCTTAAAGAGGAAGTAAGCGAAGGTAGCTGAGAACTAACAGGCCTGTTTTCTCTCCGATATATTTAAGTTTGCTTTAATACATTTATTCAAAACCACACATAAAAATGATACATGAATTGTATTTTCATACAAATTCTGATTTATCATAATGCACTACATATTTTAATGAAGAGTCCATGTTATGTTTGTTTCTAAATTATTGGCACTAAGACAACCACAGATCATATTGGAAACACTGTACTGCCATCTAGTGGTGAGTTTTGCCCACATGAAACCCTTCTTCATTCATATCTATTGTAAATTCTATACGCAAACTACCAATCTCTTCTTTGGCAGAAAAAAACAACATATTTTTTTCAAACTAATCTTGAATGAATTCAGGAAAAAAAAAAAGACATTTAATCTCCTATATAACTCATTGCCTGTCACCGATTTGGAGTAGTGATATGAAGCTCTGAGAAAAAGCATAACATGGCCTTGTTAATAACATGATTTAATAATCTGCAAAAGTAATGTTTATTTTTAGAATTCACTTTGTTAATAAGAATAATATTTTAGGTTATTTTAAAGAAATATCAAATTTTAGGTGTTTTAAAGCTTTGTTTGGTCTTGTAGTATGATAATAAAACTTTATTTATTTTATTTTTTTTAAGTTGGGGTTAGACATTTTGGTTAATGTGGTTTGGAAACCAAGCTCCCAAAAGTTGATGTTGTTGTTGATCTTTTACGATTGTGATATGCTGTAGCTTTCTCCTACTGAGGTAGTTTGGTAAACTGTGATAAGAAAACGCCGCTAACGCTATCAAAGGATTACAGGCTTCACCAGCCTGGTTAAAGTTGTTATTCTGCCTACATATCATTGCTTCGGTCGGTAAGCCAGCTAGTTAGCTTATCCCACTGTTTTGTGCTTTTTAAAATTATTATTATTGGCATTATTATTATTATTCTCACCCTTTGTTAGCCATTCCAAACTCAAAGCCGAATATTTCAGCCTGTGACTGTAAGCCATGGTCTTCTATAAATGTTTCAAGGCTAAACCACAATCAGCACCATACTAATGACAAAAAATAAATAAAACCAACGTTCTTCATCTTAACATCTTTTCCTTTTGGTGGCCCCACTCGCTTAATACCGTTGCTTTCCGTGGAGGCTCTTGTGAATTATAAATACATAAATGTGAGAAACTTGCAACACTAATATATAGTATGATATCTCTTCTCTCTTTTCAGTATAGGTTTGGCTAATCCTCAGTGTGAACTGATTGGTCTGTAGTGTTTTTCTAAAGTGCTTTTTTTTCTTTCCTTCTTTTTGTTTTTCCAAGTGCTGCAGTGATTCGTTTGCTTTATTTTAGGGATTTTTTTTTTTTTTTTTTTGCATTAGATGAGATGACAGAGTGTAAGATGTGTCCAAGAAGCCAGCTAAAAGATTTTTATTCCTTAGGAGATTAACCTGACGTATTCTCATCTCAAACAGAAGCAAAAATCCAGCAGAAGAAGCATTTGATACTAGAGTCCTGTGTCGGATTTTACATCAGAAACAGCGTTTTTGATAGCGAAAAACTCTTTTAACGGCTTATTTTTTACGTGTTTACTTTAGCAGATCTTTATTTTTCAGTTTCTGAGACTGTTTTAAAGCTTTGGTGTTCAAAACGTTGAAAAGAACTTATCGTGTCGCTACATTTCAGGTGATGCCATGCTTTTTTTGGAGAATGTATATATATATACACACACACACACAATAAGTTGGTTTACTCACAATTTATAGAATACAACCACATCTGGATGAAGGACTGAATGATACGACATGTTGATGAGTTCTTGGTATTCTCCGCAAAAGTCCGAACTAAGATTTTCAAACCGTGCCATGAAGCGAAACAGGAAAAAAAAAAGCACATACAAACAGCCAGCGTGGATTTTGCCACAAAGCTTGGTGAGAGTTTACTGTAAAAAGAAAAAAAAACAAAAAGTTTATGTTGTAACTGAGAAGTCAAAGAGGCATTAAATCTGCTATATTACCCAAATTGTTTCTTCGGTGGTCGTGTTGTTGTGCGGGAGTCATAGATACACATCCATCTGTGTGTTTTAAAGAAATCTGCCCAAGATTACGAGAATGTAAAACTGCGGCTTGACCGACTTTTAACGACAACGATGACGTTCTCCAAACACCCGTACCTTGTGTATCTGTGGCTTCTGGCTTTTAAAGAAAATGTTCTTCTGTGTTGAAAATGTGACAAAATGAATCATGTTGTATAAACTTTTGGTAAGGCAGCCTTCGCGGTTCAATGCATTTGGTTTACTATAACCTAGACAATAAAACAAAGTTAAGCTGTGTATTGCACACTAAAATCAGCTGTAAGCAAGTATGCATGTGACTAAAGTCAATAAATAGTGATTAAAACAGCAGTTTGGGTTTCCTTTGCTTCTGTTGGTGTCATCCTGTTTTTATGTTATTTTTTTCAGTAGCTTGAAAACAATATTTGAGCTATATTGTGTTATCAGCTCCACTATCAAAACCCTTTAATTTCTGAGATACTCTCATTCGCTAGCATGCTATCCGTAGCATCATCCTCATATGACCTCGAGTTAAGCTCCAATGCATCAATACGTCTTTTTAGTTTGAAAGGTACAATATGTACCTATTACTGCTATATAACTATAACTTAAAGAAACTTCTCTACCAAAAATATCACTTAAAAATATTTTTAAGATCAATACACACTTAAAATACAAATAGTGATACGTGTTGTCCACTTTAAGTGACAGGTTTATGATTTCCTTCCTAATTAAAACATATATTTCTGTATTTTAAATTGCAAGATAATCTCATGGTGCCTGGCAACCCCAGAAAATTTTTACAGGAACAAATTTTTTTAAGGTAACAGAGCTGGAAAGAAAAAACAGGCCTATACATTTTTTTTTGTTTGTGTGAATGAAGAAGTAAATGCAAAACCAAAGAATTTTTTTTTCCCAATTTTTGTTTTTATTTTACATTTATGTCTTCATTGACGAAGACGATGTGTTTCTATGACGTGAACGTGATTCTCTCGGGAGGCCTGCAGTGTCACCTACCTTTTTCCAGGGGGCGCTACTGATCTGGCGGCCATGTTGGTTGGAGTACATTTCCACTGCCTACCAGACAAACCTCAGCTGATAAGTAATGTATAGGGTGACACACTACAGCCCTGTGAAGTATACAATCGGCTAACGCCCACATTTATACAAGAACTGTCAAAATTCAGTTCATCAAAATTGCCTTTGATTATCTGTCCACTGTAATGTTGTGTATAGGATGGGTAAAAGTTTAAAAAATGGGGCTTGGCTCCGGTAAAAGAGGACTTCCTGTAAAAGCTGATGTGATTTTCTACTCATCTACCATGAGTCATTAGACCCATGCAGAGTCTTAGTAAAAGAAAGGAGCCACTGTGGCTCAGCACTGGCAGTAAAACGTAACTGTTACGCAAATTGAGCAGCCATGACTCCACCGTTCTCGGTCAACATGGTCAGGAGGCAGGCTTTGGCAGGGCGGGGGTGGGAACCGCGGGCGCCGATTCCCGTTTTCGGTACACAGATGGTGACACAGCGGAGAGGAGAGGATGGAAACCGAAAGGTCAGAGGAAAAAGCAAAATAAATCTCACACAAGCACCGTTTCGCAAAGAACAGTGCAGATGACTCAAGTCTCGTTCTTTTGGGGGTGGCGGAAAGGTTATGAAGTTTATCTTGAGAAGTGTGTTCCGATTTAGTCAAACTCTAGTGTAAATCTAAGTGTGGGATCAAAAGTGACAGATTGCACTTTATAGGCACAGTTGCATACTAATAAGACCATTCTATAGAACACAATAAAAATGCATCAGCAGTTTGAAAAGCAGCTGTATTCGAATGACACCATCATTTATATGAGAACTTCCTCCTGAAATACATCTGGAGAACATTCGCAAGAAGCTTCTTGCTCTTTCACTTACCCCTACCACTCAAATTCAAAAACGACATTGATGACTTTTCTCTCATCTACTATGTTTAGAGCTCTTCATAGTAACACTAGATCCTGTATTTAGAAGTGACTGTTCCATCTGCAGACACTTTGGTGTATGTTGCCACTGGCTAAACCTTGCAATGCTCTTTCCAAGCATCCCAGGCTCATTTCTCCACTTCTGTGACCTGTAAGTTTTCCATTGAGCTGGATCTCTTCAAATCAAACCGCCTGCATTCTTGTCTGACGCGTTGTCGTAAGAATGCTTTGACGTTTCAGCTTTGACGTCTAGCAGTAGAGAAGATGTTGGACTCAAGAGTTTTACCCTTCAACGAGTCAATGAAGAGCAATGGAGAATGTAATGGAAAGCAGTCAGATGTCCTGGGCTCGTCTTATTGAAGCTGACCTCAATAGGACTGAAGACTGCTTCCATGCCTTCAGATTGAAGAGGAAGACACGTTGATCACTTTCGGGTGTTTAGACCTAGACCTTCATATCGTAACCCGCCACCTTTCTAAAATAACGTTGTCATTTTTTGCAAAAAAAAAAAAAAATTCTTTTTTTTTTAAATCATGTTTTAGCCCAAAATAAGGCTTACCATAAAAAAAAACATCTTTAAAGAAGAAAAGACCATGTCAAAGTGTTTCTGCTCATCTCTGACGTCACCCTGGTGATGTCTTGGTAATCTCTGGTCCACAGCAGGTCCACTCGTGATTCAGCTCCAGGCTGCGTGCAGGGGGACTCGAGCTCACAACTTTCAATCATTAAACTCCCGAAATCGCAGCGGCGACGCGTGAGTCAGGACCACGAATCGCTCCGGTTCGGGTTCTCACGTTCCCACCACATCTCCACAGTGGGGCCGTTTGTTGCGAGTGGAGGATGTGAGGGTGGGAGATCTGCCCTGCGTGACGGGAGGCTGACGAACAGGGGGGGAATCGGGCTTGTTTTGAAGCTGCTGACGTAAAAACAAGTGAGGTTTGTGTGTGTGTGTGTGTGTGTGTGTGTGTGTGTGTGTGTGTGTGTGTGTGTGTGTGTGTGTGTGTGTGTGTGTGTGTGTGTGTGTGTGTGTGTGCGGGATGCTGCGGCTTTTCCCCACTTCTGAACTGCAGTACTCACCCGCAGCCAGCAGGTGGAGCTCTTCACCATCGTGTTGCAGCCGCATAAAGGCGAGTCAAGGAGTTTGGGCTTTGCAGACGCACAAATCACGCTGTCACGATTCTCCAGCTCACGCAAGCAGAGGGGTCTGTTTGCAGATTAAAGGCTGAGTGACACAGAAATGTTTCACAGATTTAGATGCGGTAACTAGTTACATTTACTGGAGTAACTTTTTTTTTTTGTACTTTTGAAACTGTTTTTACTCTGCCACGTTTCTGGCCACTCTACCCACCGTGAGCGACTGCTGGTGGATGAGAAGCAAACTTGTCTTGGCCAAACATTCACCAGAAACACCTGAAGTTTTTGTTAAATTTTTATCAAGTTTATATTGAACGAAACTGACGTGGAAAAATATGTTTTTTGTCTGACTTTTGTTATTTTGTTTGTATTAATTATTTCAATTTGGATCTTTAAAATAGCTAAATTTACACAAAGCTTTATATTTCATTCTTAAAAATAAGTTGAAGTGGTGCTGCTGCTACTGTAATACAATCTTTGCCTACTGTACACACCTGCATAGCAAGGAGTCTCTGCAAATCAAAGTTTAACTATATAATGTAATATAATATACACGTCTGAAATATTGAACAGTCATCTTACCAACAACAGTTTCCTCTGTGTGTGGCCTAAAAAATTTAAATTCAAACCTTCACTGTTAGCAAAAGGTGAAAATAGAGTGTAATTACTAATTAATCAAGCCTTCCTGTTATCTGCTTAGATCACAGGTCTCAAACTCCAGTCCTAAAGGGCTGCTGTCCAGCAGTTTTTAGATGTGTCACAGGTACAAAACACTGGAATGAAATGGCTTAATATCCTCCTTGTGCAGTTCAGTTCTCCAGAGCCTTGCTAGTGACCTAATTATTCTATTCAGGTGTGGTGCAGCAGAGGCACATCTAAAAGTTTCAGGATCTCGCTTTCTCTCATCACTGACATCTCTCAACATGGTAGTAGCTTTTTACCTTGCTTTGCATCCTCTGAAAATGGTTAACTTTGAGCATACTTCCATCAGTAACAACATCTGCCACAAAGAGTGTTTGGCACAACACAAAAGCATTTAGGACGGTGAGTTCATTGTTTGGAAAAAGATTGGAGTTTTGAGTTTCTACTAAAGGCGCCATTCCTAGTACCTGGGAACTCTGAATTGATTCAAAATGCTCAAAAATGAATTTTAAAATGTGTCTTGTTTATTATTTAATTTCCCTTTGGGATCCGCAAAGTATTTCTGAATTTAATTTGCTTACGTTTTAAACAAATTCAATTCAAATTTGAATTGCCGCTCCCATTTGCAAGTAAGCTGCATATCGCTTTACGCGTCCACTTGGTCATTTCATCCACCACATATTTTGAATAAATATTTGATATTTTTCTTCTGTAGGAGAAAAGCCAGAATATATAGTTCGCACAAGTCTAATTGGGAAGTGACTGTCTCACTGACCCGCCATCTTGGTAGGCAAGCGCAACACACGGTATGGATCAACTATGGCTTCTACACCAACAACAAAAAAAAGTAAACAGAGAAAAAAATTTTGACATAATAGTTGTAATGTGCTTGTCTTGTTTATAAGTTAGATAGGAATGTTTATTGTTATAGTAGCAACTCAGTAGCAATTGTCATGAGGGTTAGCCGTGCATACCTACCAAGATGGCCGTCGGTGGGAAAGTTCTCGGAAGTGTTGCGTCACATAAGAACTATGTATTTTATGCATAAAAACCTGCTATAGTTGAAATATAATCTGGTGGAATTTAATACTTAATGGAACCTTATAGGATTGTTTTAAATTAATATTCTATTTACCGTCTTTTCCTCTTGTCAATCACAAAATGTAAACAGAATCTGGCGACCATTTGAATAGCAAAATCGGTTTCGGAGTTGAATCGTGACCCTAAATATTGGAATCGAATCTCGAGACGTTGAAAGATTCACATCTCGGGTTTCAGCTGCTCAGACAGAAAATGTAATTCGGTGACCTTGGCAGTCATTCTGTGCACGTCTGGGTCAGGAACACCCTTTGTCTACGTTGCATAAAACCTAACATGAACACAAAAACCAATCATGTCGAGTAGATCCTCCCGCCTTCCCTTCTCTTCTCTCCCGGTGGACGCCGCCCCATTTCTCCCGTTCTCTCTCCCTCCTCACACTGCCTCTGTCTTACACCTTTTGCTGTTGTTACGCAACCAGGGAGTGGTTTTAATAATTCAGCAGCATCTCTTTCGTCCTTTTGTTTTTCTTTTTTTTATGTACCCGGCACATTTTGGTTCACACTACAGTGACCCTGCAGC